TCACAACATCTAAGTGCATGTGAAGTGCACTAATGAGGGCCATCGTATAACTTTGATGAGGTCACCAACACCGACCTCATTCTAAGGATCTAAGGGATATAATGTGCGTCACCCAAAAAAAATTGAAAGATTTGGACTCACATATGACCTAGTTTCGCTAATTACATAATCATGAAATTATAACGGCCTATTAAATGTGAAACTGTAACATGCAAAGGTAACATATGTTAGATTCCTCATAATCTTAGCACAGTCATACTTGTGTTGATGTCGATGCAATAGCCAACATTGCTCAACGAGATTTACATTGCAAACAGTGCTTGTTAAAGCTCCATAATCAACACAGGGTCACTCACCTAACGAGACAAATTTGTTATTAAGACATATAAGGTGGTGCTCATGCAATCATGCAACATAACACAATCAGGTGGGCATACATTATGTACTCAATTAGTCTGGTGGCTTTGAAGAGGGACCCGACTTTAGCACACAATATGAAATGCTTATGACATTTAAGTATAATGTGATAACAGGTGAGATGGCATGCTCTCTGTATAGGAGATTCACACATCGACGGGGTAGCATTGCTAGCCACCACTCATCAGAGGCTTGCAAGTATATGCCAAGGGCAATTTTGATTTCTTTTTCATGCAAGAGTGCTTAACATATTACATATCATTCAAATTTTATTTTTTTTCATGCTCATACAAGTATGAATTCAAGTAATTGATAAGCCATACAAGAGAAGCAAATGCAAGTGCAAAAAATATAACATGTAATTGATTGGTTGATCGAGCCTTGGTGGTTGATCGAGCCAAAGTGATTGGTTGATTAGAGCTTGGTGGCTGATTGAACCAAATTGATTGGTTTTGTGATCGGGCTTTGACGGGAAATCAAATTAAAGTGTTTGGTTTTGTAATCAGGTTTTGGTGGTCAATCCAACCAAATTGATTGGTTTTGTGATATGGCCTTTATAACTGATCCAACCAAATTGATTAGCTTATTGATCAATCTTTGGAGGTCGATCAAACCAAAGTTATTAGTATCGTGATTGGGTATTTGAACCAAAGTGGTTGGTCTGTGATCGAGCATTGGTGGGCGATCAAACCAAAGTGATTGGTTGATCATATATTGGAGGCCGATAGAACCAAATTGATTGTTTTTGTGATCTATCCTTTGTGGTTGATCGAATTAAAGTTGTTGATTTTGTGGGCTTTAATAATCGATCAAAACAAAGTGATTAGTTCTGTGATTGGGTCTTGGTGACCGATCAAACCAAAGTGGTTAGTTTTTTTTATTGGGACTTGATGACCGATCAAACAAAAGTGATTGGTTGATTGACCTTGGTAGTCGATCAAAATAAATTGATTAGTTTTGTGATTGGGTCTAGTGACCGATTGAACCAAGGTGGTTGGTTTTATGATCAAACCTTGCTGGCCAATTAAACAAAAGTAATTGGTTGATCGGGCCTTAGCGGTCGATCAAACTAAAGTGATTGGTTTTGTTATAGGGCCTTGGTGGCTGATTGAACCAAATTGGTTGGTTTTGTGATCAAGCCTTGGTGGCCGATCAAACCAAGTGGTTGGTTTTATGATCGGGTCTTGGTGGTCGATCAAACAAAAGTAGATGGTTTTATGATCTATCTTTAATGACTGATGAAACCAAAGTGATTGATTTTGTGATCGGGTCTTGACAGACGATTGAACCAAATTAGTCAGTTTTATGATCATGCATTTGTGATCGTTGATCGAACAAAAATGGTTGGTTTTATAATTAGTTTTGGTGGTCGATTGAACTGAAGTGATTAGTATTGTGATCTACCCTTAGTGCCATCATATGCCCGTAATGAGTATTTGTGCCTCCCATGACCACATTACTTATTACATTTGCCCCTTGACATCCTTATATCACTTTGTGTCATGTCACTCATGTTTGCATCTACACTTTGCACTCTTCCATGATGTCATGTATGTCCATGACTCACATGCTTTAGGTCTCCTTGAATCATTATTCTAACATGCTCGTGTTTCGGGGACGACAGACACATCAAGCCTACCCAGTGTGTAGTTCTCTCTAACCAGATTTACATCACTTCACCTCCTACAACACTACTCCATACTGTTGTAGGTATTTTCTTGAGTCACTGCTCCTCGCACACTCATTCACTTCCTACGACACTGCTTCGGATTGCAGTAGATTTTCTTGAGTCGTTGCTTCTCGCACGCTCATCTCTGACACTCACGTGTCTCATGTGGGAACGACTTGCACACTAAGCATAATCATCGTGTGATTCTCCCCAACGAGAATCACACTTTTTCACCTCCTATGAAATCACTACAGACTGTTGTAGATATTTTATCGATTAACAACTCCTCGTACACTCACCCAACGCTCATGCGTCTTTCTCAAGCCAATGCTCCTTGCACACTCACTCTCTTGTATATTTATAGAGTCACTATTTCTTGTACACTCTTTCCAACGCTCATGCGTCTTTCTCAAGCCAATGCTCCTTGCACACTCACTCTCTTGTATATTTATAGAGTCACTATTTCTTGTACCCCCTTTCGCCTCCTGTGACATCACTTCAGACTGTCATAGACACCTTTCTCGAGTCACTGCTCCTTGCATACTCGCTCCTGACACCCATGTGCCTTACGCTAGTTACTCCTTCTCACACACTCGCTCCCAACACTCTAGCGTCTTTCTCAAGTCACCAGTCCTCTCACATTCCCTCCCAACACTATTGTGTCTTCTCTCGTGTCATTGCTCCTTGCACACTCACAACACTGCTTCGGATCGTTGTAGGCATCTTTCACGAGTCGCTGCTCTCACACACTCTTTAGACACCCAGATATCCTCTTCAGAGACGACTTGTATATCAAGCCTACCCGAATTTTGATTATCCATAGTGAGAAGAACACTGCTTCACTTTTATTGCTTATTTTGCAAGCACATCACTGCATTGTTGGTGCATTCATCATTAGTCCACACCGTCGTATACTTATAACGAATGTTTGCTATCTCGTGATCGCTCCAGCCTTGATGGAATGGTCATTATGCACTAGATCTCCCTGCATATGTGATATCAAACATTTGTCCTTATTATATGTCATCTCGCCCTTGTGATGGGTACCTCTGCTTTCTGTGGCGGCGATGGAGAAGGGTCGGTGATTTCCACGGACCCCTCTCCACCGACCATGACCCCTCGGTAATCGGGCCCTATGGGGCCTTCAACAATCACATTCGCTCTAACCCCAGGAGCCAGACCTTCCTAATGAGGCATTTTCGACATTTACACCCTAGGAACCTCAGACGAGCCAGCTTGATCGACCGATGCAAGTTTTGGTCTCAAACATTTTTTCTTCCTTATGACATTTTCTTCTTTATAGTTCTTCCTTATGACATTTTCTTCTTTATAGTGACACAGAGTGATAGCCCTCCATGGCTAGGAGTTCAGGGTCCACCTCGCCCCTGGCTTGCACCGTCAACCCTTCAAATATCTATCGAAAATTGGTGGCAAAAAAATGTAAATGCCAACCCTATGGTCCTATTTATAGGGCTCACTGGGCACAGAGTCCCATGAGAAGTCATTTATCAAATTAAATTTCTCAAATTTGGTGTCGCTAATTGTTTAACAGTTTTTTTGTCCTTGTCGTATGTGTAACTATCAAGGAACACAAAAATTTAAGGAACTATTATGTGTAAGCCAAAACTGCTAGTACAAAGCTCAAAACAATTAGATGGCCAAGAGCGACGACAGGGCAATCAAAGCGACAGGTTGAAGTAGCATGGTCTGAACCAGCCGTTCGACGACTGACTTCTCTATCAGATCAGTAGACCCATGTTGTCGAGAGATTCAATTGATGGACCGTGCTTACGACCTAGCTACCCAAACTTCTTTCAAAGGCGCACGATCAGAACTAGTCGATGGACCAACTTTGCCTCGGCATGAGTAATCTCCATGCAACCGGTCGCCCTGGTCGACTGAACTAAAACTCATCGATCCGCTAATGAATGTTATATTATGCTTAAATGATAACACAAATCTTGTATTAAATTAATGTATTAACTCCATTAAGGGCAATTCCATGACCGTTCCCTCATTTTTACAATTGGACAAAAATGCCCCATATAAATAGAAGGTTCAAAGATGAATAAGGTAACTTTTCCCCTCATTCCTCTCCTCAGAAATCGTCATCGGTTCAACTCTCTCTCCTAGTCTTCTTCTCCCAGCTCCAACTCTCGAGTCGTGTTTTATCTAAAAGACAATTTATGATTCAACACTTTGATAACATTTGACTCATCTTATTGATATAACCAATTTGATTCTAAACCTGTTAAAACAGGGGCTCAAATGATACCAAATTTGAATTTGAAAGATCCTTTATAAAAAATGCATCAAAATTCTTGCTCGACGATAAAAATTTATTGATGACATATCAACATGATAATTCACATGTTTTTTTTATAAACTTAAAAAAAAGCAAAAACAATAATTTAACTGAATTTACTTCAAGGATAACCAAACAAGCTTAAGTATTTTGAGAACACTATTTTTTATTTTAGTTTACATGCATATAAATAAGCTTAGAAAGTAATTTTCTTGTATTTATCTTGCAAACAACCAAACAATATATTAAAGACATAATACACAACATTTTATTTGACTCAAGTATGTTTTTTACAAATAACCAAACAACCCAAATTTATTTGTTTTGCTTATTTTTAAAAATAATTATCATTAATAAATATGTTTAATGTTAAAAGTAAACATAATAAAATAATTTAAAATAATATATAAAAAAATAAAAAATGATATCGATTGGTCCCTAAATATTTGAGTATTATGCATATAAAATTTAAAACTTAAATATTAGGTATATTAATGCATAAGATCGTATGTTGTCGCTACTCCTAAAATGCTGACTTATTATAATAAAATGTTTATTAATCCTATTCTGAGATTACTTTTGGTGGTTACATAAGGACCAATACGCCTACCGCACACGAGGTTACGCTTGCGCTCCAGATCCAGTTCACCGTTAGCGGCGAAAAGCCGCGAAACCGCGACTTTCCGCGCGGTTCTCCGGCGTCGCTCAATCTATAAATTGGCGGCCAGCCCGACGGCCGGTTCTTTTTCTAATCTCCATGCAAGCGCTTCCACTCCCTCTCTCGGCCAACCAGAGCAACATTTCTCTTCCCAACCTCCTTCTCCAATAGCGGTGGATCTCCACACCCTCGACACCGATCTCCCGCATTCCCGCATTCATCCTCCATTCATTCACTTATTCTTCTCCAGATCTAGTCTAACTGCTCCATTCAGAGGTAAGAACGACAATGGAAGGCGATCCGCAGGAAGCTGCGGCGACTCCGACAGGGGCCTCGTCGGGCGCGGAGAGTCCCCTGATGCTCATGCTTACGAGCTCTTCCAGTTCCCTCAATGATGAGGACTTATTCGAGCCAGTCTCCCTCCTTGATCTTGACGGCGCCATTCTCGATGTCGGCCCAGCTGACGTCTCCATGCGTTCCTCAATCAACTCCGCCGGAGAGCTTGACGATGTCGGCGCTCTTTCGAAGGAAACGCACGCTGATCGCCACTTCCGTAGTCATACAATTAATCTCAGCTCCTCTACTGCCAGCTTCGACTCGTATTCCTATCCTTGCTCTATGGCTGGATCGCCGCCTGAACCGCAGGGTAGGCAACTCGCAATGTCGGAGATACCGCCGGAGCTCGTGCATCTTGTGGATTCTGTCATCATGGGGAGGTTAGACTGCATGGAGAAACTGAAAACGATGGCTTCGGGTGCTGATTCGTTGGAGTTTTCGAGGTTTGTGGTGGATGCGCTGCTCGCCACCATGGTCGGGGTGGAAGGCCTGGATGAAATGGATGGTACTGGGTTCAAGGAATGGGCGCCGAGGGTAATGCTTACTTCACGAGCTGCTGCTGTGGCTGCGGAGCTTATCCCCTGGCTATACTGTGAAGGTGATTCAGAGTTTTCTATGTCGCCGAGGACGAGGATGGTGAAGGGTTTGTTTTTGATTCTGAATTCCTGCACCAGAAACCGTGTGATGTGCTCGTCTACTGGGGTGCTTAGATTCCTCTTGGGTTCAGCGGAGAAGATCCTTTTGGATTCAGCAGGCTGTTTTCGTTGGAATGCCTGGCCTTTGCTTTACTGCATTCAGGTTCTTGGTGGGTGCTCTTTGAGCGTCATGGATCTGGAGCGCTGGCTTAATTTGATTAAAAAATGCATCGTCACTGAGTGGGCAGCGCCGTTGATGCTGTCTTTGGAGAATGCTATGGGGAGTGAGGAGGCGAGGGGCCCGGTCAGTTCCTTTGAGTTTGATGGCCAGAGTTCTGGCTTGCTTGCTCCTGGTGAGAATCGCTGGCCGTTCTCCAATGGTTATGCTTTCGTGTCTTGGATTTATTTGGAGTTGTTAGAAGAGGTGATTGTTGACCCTCCCACAAGCACCACTGCAGCTTCATCAGCCGTCCGTTTGGGGAAATCATCTTCTGTAGCAGTAGTTGGAGTGTCAGCTTCTGGCGAGATTACCGGCCAAGTTCCTGTGCAAACTCCTAGGATCTTTAGTTTTGTATCTGCTGATAACCAGTGGGTGGAGGCATATTTTTATGGACAATTCTTGGTTGTGGAAGTTGGCGTTGGGAAGGGGAAGAAGACTTTCATACGTTTTAGTTATAAATTCAAACCTCAGTGCTGGTACTTTATAGGGCTCGAGCACAGCTATAAACAGAGTTTGCTTGGCAAAGCAGAGAGTGAGGTGAGATTGTATGTTGATGGGAGATTGCAAGAGACTCGACCTTTTGAACTTCCAAGGACATCAAAGCCTCTTTCTTTCTGCAGCATTGGAACAAATCCTCCCCTAAGCTCACCTGGTTTGCAGCGACGTAAACGTCAGTGTCCTCTTTTTGCTGAGATGGGCCCTATTTATATTTTCAAGGAACCCGTTGGGCCTGATGTAATGACTCGATTAGCTTCCAGAGGAGGAGATGCTCTGCCATCTTTTGGAAAAGGTGCAGGCTTACCATGGTTAGCAGTAAATGAGCATGTACGAAGCCTAGCTGAAGAAAGTTTGGCCTTGGATGCTGATATTGGAGGTAGTCTGCACCTACTCTATCACCCTTGCTTGCTCAGCGGTCATTTCTGTCCAGATGCTTCATCTTCTATTTCTGCAGGTTGGTTGGGCTTTCAGGTTGATTGATTATTCTGCTTTAAGCTATCTGCTTCCATAAGTTATCCTAACAGCTTTTTTTTTTGGTTGGTTTATTCACTTTCAAGGCCGATCTTGGTCTGCTTTTCTCTTTGCATTGAAAGTCTAATTAGACTGCTGTTCAGGTCTGTTTGACATCTAAGGTATACAATGGAAGCTGTGAAATGCAAAATATTGTTATTTCTCGTTCTCATCAATTGAACTAACATTGATAAAGAATTTGGCATTCAACAAATGAAGATTCAAACCCAGAGAAGTTTTACAAGCTTTGTATATGATCATGTTTAATAAATGAAAAAATGTGCCTATTACCTTTGATGAAAAAAAATGATAAAAAGAGTATAAGGACTGAAGCTTATTATTTCAGGTATCTGAAGAAAATAAAAGGATAGTAACTTTAAAAAAAGATGAAATCAAATTCAGAAGTAACAATAAAGAATAGACTATCAAAGTTATTATACCATAAGAGGAATTGAAGCAATTTTATTCTTTGTTTTTTTTTAAAAACTAAAGCAAGATTAAATATTAGGAAGTAATATATTTGATGTATATTAAAAAGTTATAAATAAATAATGTCTTATTTATTATAAATATTATATTAAATATAAAATGGGTTAGATGAAAGAAAATGAAAGTATAAAAAATAAAAGCTTTAACGTTAAAGGTATAAATTAATATTTATAAATGGGCATGGTCATATATATATATAAACGCCCAAGGGTTAATTTTATTGAAATTGAAAAGATACATAGATGTTTTATGAGAGGGCCCAAAAAAAGTGCCCTACCCATATGATACATCAGACACTAGCATCGTAAAAGGATGAAACATAGATAAAAGAAAAAAACAAAACTTGCATGAAATAAGCTGCTAGGCATGAGCCAGTTTTGAGCCGCCTCTGCCTCTGGTTCTAGGAGCGGAGACAACTAACAAATTGCTGAGTGTTGTTCCATTACCCGAAGTTACTAAAGTATCATCCATTAAGTTCCCAGGCTGAAGTGTGCCTTCATTCTTCTTTTTCTTTCTAGATGTGTGAACCTGCTATTCCTCATCCGATGACTGACTAATATGATCGGCGTGGTCAACAGATTATTGGGCATATAGGAGAGAATGAGCCCCTAGCTCCTGACTAGTAGTAGCAACATTCTGATTCTGAAGAGATGGTCCCGCATCTGTTCGTATAATAGCCTCCGACCATTCCTTTAATATACGAGCAGATGCGGGACCAACCAATCTAATCCCGCATCTGTTTTTATATATATATTTGTGCACGCACACATGCGTCCGCTAAATATATATCATGTTAATTTACTTTTACTGGAGAATTTATTTTCTCAACTATTATATAAAATGTAAATATATTTTGTTAAAATTAAGTTAAATGTTGTTGAGATGAGAATGCTTGGGCAGATGAGTGATTTGACTCTTAGAGACAAAATGCGGAACAAATATATTCGTGAAATGATTGGTGTAGCTCCAGTGACAGACAATATTACAGAGAGTTGTCTTAGATGGTTTGGTCACATTAAACGTTGACCATCGAATGATTCTATTAGGAGAGTAGATGTTTTTGATTTGACTGATGTTAAGAAAGATAGAGGTAGACATAAAGAGACTTGGGCCTATTGTATAAAGTATGATCTTAATTTATTAAAGTTAAATGAAAATATGACACTCGGAAGGATACAATGAAGAAAAAAGATTCATTTATTTGACCCCACTTAGTGGAATAAAGGCTTGTTGTAGTATGCATGTAGATGTGCTGCATGAACAATATATATAGGAACAATATGTAATTTTTATGTAACTATATATATTTGGAACAAAAATGATGATCATACTATGTAATAATAAAGATATAAGTATAATAAAGAGATGACATGATTTACAAGTAGGGTTGAGCTCGAGTCACCCTCGACTTGAGCTTGAGCTTTATTAATTAATCAAGTTTAAGCTTGAACTCAAGCTTAATTCTATAAGTTCAAATTGGATCGGGGCCAACTTGTTTATTATAAAAGAGAGAAAAGAATATTAATTCTAGAACTATTATAATAAAATAATAAATAAAATGAACTATTAGAAAATAAATATTAAGAAATCATTTTATATAAAAGGTAAAATATTATTTAAAATTTTTTTAATAATCTGAAGATGAAGTATTGAATTTTAATATATTAAGTATATTTTATTTTAATTAGATTTTAAATGAGCCAGCTCATGAGCTAACGAGTCAAGTCAAGGTTGACTTGAGCTTGACTTGTTAACTTATTGAGCTCAACTCACGAGGCACTTATCAAGTAGAGCCCAAGCTGACTCACTGGTTAGCTTGGTTCAATTATACTCTTACTTTGGCCAAAATAAGCTTGAATTCTTGGGAGAGTGGAGAATATCCAAGCCACTACAGAGAAGCCATACAATTGTACAAATAAAACGATTCACAAGATATATTTTCATAATTCTTAACTCAATCAACCTTACCACACAATTGAAGCCCCAAATATCAAAGTAAATAAATCGGACTTAAAAGTTCTTTACTCAAAGTGAGAAAGTAAAAAAGGAATATTTAATTAATAACAACAGTCATTCACTTAAAAGTTCTTTAATAATTTTCCATATGTCTATGAATTCATTTCAAATTTTGGGATATAATCATGCTTTGCTTTTGTGAAGGTAGTGTTTCATGGTTGCACAAAAATCTTTTTGTGTTCTCTTTCACTTCATTTTTATTTTATTTTATTTTAATTTTTTATTTATTGCCATTGCTAGGTCCCCAGCTTTAGATGCAAAAAGTGAAAAGTTGCGTTGGATGGTCGAAAACTAGCGTAAAATTTTGTTGTCGAAAATTTATGTTATGAATCCTTTAAATCATCGCGTCACTCAATTGGACACAATGGAGAAAAAAATTCATGTAGCCGACCCCATTTAGTAGGATAAAGGACTATTGTCGTTGTTGTCATTTTGTCTAAAATTTTATCTCTCTCTTGCTCTCTCTCATTTGCTTAAGCTTAAAAGCTCTCCCTCTCACTTCTAATTAAGCATTGATACTAAATTGTTCCATGTACAATAACCTTTTGTTGGAATATTCAAGTACCCAAAAGCATAGAATTTTACATGACATCTACTACTCTTCATTTGCACTAAACCAAAAATTCTTCAAGCGCTCATTTATTGCTATCTTTTTTTGTAGGAATTTAAGGAGACGATTTTAAATATAAATTAATTTAATTTTTGACTTAATCTCTAATATAGTAAAATTTCTAGCAAACTTTAAACCTAATCTTTATCTCATTATAAAGGCATTATGTATATTTATTTTTAATAAACCTCTGATTTTCGTTTTCTGTTTTTTTAATTAACTTGTGGAATCATAATACATACCATATGTATATATAGACACCCACCCCTTCACACCTACCTGCACACTGGCACACATACATGCATTCATACACGCATACATATATACATAACAATTGTATGTATATTTATACATATAAGCATTTGTAAGCCAGACTTATATTGAGAAGATATATTTATCCTATTATAATTCTCTTGGGAGCAGATCAAGTGATAATGATGTTTGAGGAAAGGTGCTCCAGAGGAACAAGAAGAACCTTGACAAAAGAGGTTTGATGTACATTTGGGTTATTTGGGCATAGTTTGCATCTAATACTTGTTGAACATAGGTCCATTTTCGTTCTCAAGAGGTTTCTAAAAAGTGCCAGAAACTTTGGACAATACAAGGCACATAAAATATAGTGCACGACATTGTACTAGAATGTAAGTATCCAACTGTTAGGCTATATGTGGAATGTAAGAAACTGCCGATGCTTTTTAACTGCACTGTTGAGATGTTCGAGTTTTTATCTGAAATTCCATGCAATATCCTTAAGAGTAGCATAAGCTTTAGCATCAACCCAAGGTATGCTCTTCTGCTTTGATTGCTATAACCTGGCCAAATGAGAAAAACTTACACTCCATCATGAAAAATTATCACGTGTCTGTAAGATTTGTGTTCTGATTTACTTATTATCTGGTGGATTTATTGTTTGTATTTGCAGAATGAAATGGAAGTATTTAGTCATATTATACTGAAATGGGAATCTAAACTAGTTGATATCGTAATCCTGAGCTATACTGGATTTATTAAAACTTTTTTTGTTCGGCATATCTTATCTTTTTTATTGAAATAGTTGAAGTTTAAGATTGAGCTATACTGAATTTATTAGAAATTCTTTGTTTGGCGTGCCTGCTGTCTTTTATTGTAACTGTTTAAGTATAAGAATCCTTCTTGTTGATAAGACTAGAAAGAGAGATAGAGTTTAGAAAAAACTTGATTTATGGTGGTCAACTTTAAAATCTAAAGGCTTTCGTTTGAGTTGATCTAAAATTGAATACATGGAATTTAATTTCAGTAGTATTAGATTTAGAGGTGGGTTGTAACAATTGGTGATCAAATAATTAAAATGAGTAAATATTTTAGATGTCTCGGGTTTATTGTTCAAAGTGAAGGTGATATAAATTGGGTTGTTATTAGTGTAATCATGTCGTATGGTTGAAATGGAGGAATACATTGGGCCTATTGTGTGATAGAGAAGTACTGCTTAGACTTAAGGAAAATTTTATCAGATAGTGGTGTGACCTGCATTGCTTTATGGTGCAGACATTGGCCTGCTAAAGAGAAGCATATAAGTAAGTTGTGTTGTTGAGATCAAAATGCTCAGGTGGATGAGTGACTTGACACTTAGAGACAAAATACAAAACAAATATATCCATGAAAGTGTTGGAGTAGCTCCAGTGACAGACAAGATTAGAGAGAGTCGCCTTAGATGGTTCTGTCACGTCAAATGTCGACCATTTGATGGCCCTGTTAGGAGAGTAGTTGCTTAAATTTTGACTTGTGTTAAGAAAGATAGGTACCCAACTTAGTTGGATGAAAGCTTGTTATTGTTGTTGTCTAAGTATAAGAATTAGATTACACTTTCTAGTCTATTGTTCACTTGAATCCTGTGATACTTTTATAAATTTTCTTAAAGTCTGTGCTTATTTTCAGGCATACAACGACAGCATGCAGAGGTCATTGGGCAAGTTAATGTTGCTACTAGAGTGCATCCAATGGATTCTTTATGGGCCTTGACCTATTGTGGCCCGATGGCTTTACTTCCATTGATAGTTAGCGATGTGCGAATGGACAGTCTAGAACCCAAGCTTGGTGATCCTTCTGTAGCTCTTGCAACTTATTCCCTTTCTGCCCCAATTTTCAGAATTATCTCCGTAGCTATTCAGCATCCTAGAAATAGTCAGGACTTGTGCCAAATAAGAGCACCGGAGCTTTTGTTAAGGATTTTGCATCACATGTTAAAAACACGGTCTAATCCTGATATGGGAAAGCTTGTTCGATTAAGTGATGACGACCTTGTTGCTGCAGTTGCATCTTTATGTCAACATCAGAAACGTAATCATCCATTAAAAGTGAAGCTCTTCAGTACGTTGTTGCTAGACTTGAAGGTGTGGGCAATGTGCAATTATGGCTTACAGAAGAAGCTTTTGTCATCACTTGCAGACATGGTATTTACAGAATCAGCAGCTCTGAGGGATGCTAATGCCTTGCAAGTTCTACTTGATGGATGCAGAAGATGCTTTTGGGTTATCCCTGAAAATGATTCTATCGATACATTTTCACTACTTGGGGGACCACGGCCTGTTGGCGAAGTAAACTCTTTGGTTGATGAGCTCCTTGTTGTGATTGAGCTTTTAATGGGAGCCGCTCCCACTTCTATGGCAAATGAAGACATTCATTGTTTGCTTGGTTTCTTGGTTGTTTGCCTGCAACCTAATCAGGTAAACTGTCAATATATATCGTTTAGAAGTTTTGGATGACATGAGAGATATTTATGAAGAATTTTGGCAAATTATTACCTTGAACTGTCTATTGTTTTCAACATTATCATTGTCATTGCTAGTCGAATATATAATTCTTAACTTGATGTGATCCAATCCTAATCTCAAGTTGACCACAGTTTAGGCAAAACATTTATTTTTTCCAGAAAAATCTTGCCTTGTTATTTTACTAAGTTTTACCCATTCTGTTTTAAACGCCTTAAATAATTTTGATCCCTAACACTACTGTTGTTTCCTGCATGTATGTTAGATGTTCAAATATTGCTTACATGCAATCCATGACATTTGGCTAGTCTTGTTTTCATAAATTTTTTGAGGCATTGAGCTTTTGAACATATAACACACCTTATCTTGGTAATAAATCAGCCTCTTTTGCTGTTTAATAGTTATTTCTTTGTTTGATTTTACATTATGTATTTGATAAATTTTTGGTAAAGGATCTTTTGAATTGATGTACCAATCTAGCTTCTAATTTGATCAATGGAAATTTTACTAACACAAACATGGATGTTGTGTTTGTTAGATGTGGAAGCCTTCCTCATTTTTTCTCTGTAATGCTCACTTCCATTCTTTTTTAATCAATTTGATATTTCAATATTACTTTTGTTTCTTAGTAATTCATGTTAAATTAATGTAGTTGTAGAAAAGTTTAGTTATTGTAATCCTCTGGTCATTAATTTTGTCCCTAATTCTATCAGTTTGTGTTCATTAATCTGTTGCATATTGTTTCTTCAAATTTATGATAGTCACATCTTGGTTTCTTTCTTATAAAGTTTGCTTGATACTTTAAAAAAGAATTTTTAATATAGTTTGACATCATATATTCCACTTAATGGGTATGAGTGACGAATGAGGATTCATGTTTCCTACCAAAATATCTATGATAAGATTATTGATGGACATATTTTAGTCTTTATTTGTTCATATAGAATTGCAGCTCTTCACATTTTAGAGCTCAATTCTGTCTTTATTATACTTAAGATTGATTCGAAGACGGCCGATATCGGAGAAGAAATTCCAAACCATAAAAACAACTTTTATTAACGGGGAAATAGGATTACACCACACACAAACTGAAAATAGCATCACTAAAATATGAAAAGACACAAACAAACACCTCGAAAGTGTATCTCAAGGGCAGTGGATGTTGGTAAGGTGGATCTGGATGGCTAGCGGTGGCGGCGGCAGAAAAGATGGAGTGGTGGGCGGTAGATTTGGCTGCAAAACAACGGGCTGCGGGGTTGGACAACCAGTTTGGAGGGCCTAGACAGTAGGTTTGGGACTGGGTGGTGGGCTGGAGGCGGTTGGGGAAGGGTCGAAGTGGTGGAGCTGTTGTGGAAGAAGTAGAACAACAGAGAAACGAAAGTGTGGTAAGATAAATGCCTCGGCTGGGTCAAGATACAATCGAAACACCACTCGGACCCTTGAAGACAATCACTACCTTGGACGAGCGACAGCCGAAGCAATACCTTGATGTTGGATTTAACCTTAAAAGAGAAAATACCAAGTTTAAAATATGAATTCAGATATCAAAACAAGACCCTCATTTTTAAGAACATTATCTTTTATTTATAATGAGGGCAGGACTTTATTTTAGGCAATGCTTAAAATAAGAAAGAAGAATCAAATCAAGACTTCAGATTTAGGTGAGGAAATAAAGTGAGGAAAAATCAGATTTAGGTAAATAAAGTAATCAAAATTCAAATTTTAGAAAGGATTTAAAATCAGAAAGTTTTAAAATAAGAGATGAGAATAAAATATAATCAGATTTTGTTTTTAGGAAATGTTTTAAATTAAGAAGAAGAATAAAAATCTGATTTCAGTTTTAGGAAAATATTTAAATTAGAGAAAGTTTAGGAAGGAAAGTAAGAAAAGAAGGAAATGAAAGAAAAAGAAAAAAAAGGGAAAAAGGAAAGGAGGAAAGAGGAAGGAGGCCTTGAGGATCGGCTGGTCCTCTCTTGAGGCCGCGTCAGTCTCTTGGGGTTGGGAGAGCTTCGACCTAATTCGTCAAAGCTTCTGGCTCCTTGTGGCACGACGTCAAGCCTCTGGCATGTCGAACAAGTAGATGTTGTCATTCCAATGCACATTCTGATAGAAGATATATCTGATCTGAGCTGAAACTGTAGATAAATGAGTATCCCTACAAATTAGGTATCCCGCTATACAGTTGTAACTTGCTTCTTCTATTCTTCGTACTCTTCTGAGTGCAATTGATAACCTAGTATGTGAGACCTCTTCTCCATAGATAGGACCTGTATCCCATTGCAGAATTTTCGTCCCCATCAAGCTCTTAGGGCACATTTCAAAGCTAAGGTTCATATCTCCTGTATGGTTATCCGACAAGGGGTTCCATGCGGAACAGAAAATAACATCGTAATAACTCCACGTGATATTCTTGACATGACACACAATGACTTCATTTCTGCCATGCTGGACCTTCCTCTGTATGTGTGGCTCAGAAGGAGGCTATAAATCTTAAATATTTGCAATGCTTTGATTTGTGATGGCCTTATATCTGTGGCCGGTTTCTCAATTTCCTGTCCTTTTTGGACATCCCAAGTTAGTTCTGTGGCGTTCCTTGTATTGCTTGTGAAACATTAGCTCGAGGTATCACCACTTTATACTATGCGTGAATGCTCATTACATCATGGTCACTACTTTCCCGAGCGACTACTGTTACCTCAGCTGAAATTTCTATCTTAGGGTCCACTGGAGGCGTCTCTTTCTCACTAGCTGCAAGTGGAGAATCCTCCTGGAAGTCTTCAACTTCTCCCATATCAGCGTTGTGATTGCCTAATTTTTCAACAATACCCTGCTCAGTAAAACATGTCTCTCTTTGGTGGTGCATTCTAATTCCACATGCCCAAATCCGTGACACTTACAACACTTTTTGGGATGTGGCCTGGTCTCCCTTGTTCTCTACTCTGAATCAATTTGTCCTCTGTGGGGTCGTCTTGGGTGTTCATCTGAGTGCACTCTGGCTATAAGATCCTGAGGTTGACCATTGCCTGTAAGATGTGGGGGTCGCTCAGCGGTGTGGTCCCTCCACTTCTGAAGATAGATTCTGAAGTTTATGTCCGTAGTAAGCTGGTAGGAACTGGTAATATGTCTTCTGATTCATCCTCAGATTCTCTCATTCTCCCCTTCGACACTTTCGATCACGGTCGATGGTTTTCATTCGATTTCATCTTCAATGTCTGCAATCCACCACTGAAGTCGGCGGATCTCTTGCTGTATGTCTTCTAGGGTAAACTCGGGCATGTATCTCATTAGTGGCATGACTAAGGTTTAGGGTTGAGAGGTGAAAGGTGATGTAGGAGACTATTTGGTGTTGTAAAAAAAATTAAGTTGGGGTTGCTGATTTTACAAATCAACAAGGAAAAAAAATTAGGTTTAGGTCAAATTCTTGCTATAGGTTTGGGAATTGGGAAAGAAAAATTTTGTGGTAATGGCTTGGAAAGGTGGAGATGTTAGGAAATCTTAGGATGCGACTTGAGTTGAACTAGCTTTGATACCAAATGATACCGGAGGAGGAATCCCAAACCATAAAAGTAACTTTTATTAATGGGAAAATAGGGTTACAACACACAAACTGAAAATAACATTACTAAAACATGAAAAAACACAAGCAAACACCTCGAAAGTGTCGCCTAAGGGCCGTGGAGATTGGTTAGGCAGATTCGGATGGCTAGCGGGAGTGTTGACAACAAAGATTGAGTGTTGTTGGCAGATTTGGCTGCAAAACAACGGACTATGGGGCTGGACAACCGGTTTGGAGGGAGTGGACAGTAGGTTTGGGGATGGGAGGTGGGCTGGTGGCGGTTGGGGAAGGGTCAAAGTGATGGAGCTGCTGTTGAAGAAGTAGGACAACAAAGAAACAGAAGTATGGTAAGATAAATGCCTCGGGGGGATCGAGATGCAGCCAAAGCACCACTAGGACCCTTGGAGGCGATCACGATCTCAGACGAGGGACTGCCGGAGCACCATCTCGACGTCGGATACAACCCTCAAATGGAAAATACCATGGTTAAAATATGAATTCAAATGTCAAAACAAGTTCCCCATCTCTAAGCACATCATCCTCTATTTGTAATGAGGGTAGGAATTTATTTTAAGCAATACTTAAAATAAGAAAGAACTACCAAATCAGGATTTCAGATTTAGGTAAGGAATAAAGTGAGGAAAAATCAGATTTAGGGAAAGGTAAATAAAGTAATCAAAATTCAGATTTTGTTAAGGATTTAAAATAAGAAATGTTTTAAAATAAGAGAGGAGAATAAAATATAATCATATTTAAGTTCTTAGAAAAGGATTTAAATTAGGAAGGATAATAAAAATCAGAATTTCAGTTTTATGAAATGTTTTATATTAAAGAAGGCCTAGGAAGGAAAGTACGAAAAGAAGGAAAGGAGAAAGAAATGAAAGAAGGGAAAAAAGAAAAGAGGGAAGAGGAAGCAGGGGGCGACGACTCCCCTCCCTTGAGGATCGGCCGGCCCTCCCCCGAGCCCATGTCACAACCTTTTTCCCTTTAATTCTTTTCCCATCATCTTATAATTTGGGCTACATGCTCTCCAAAGGTTATCTGACAATAGCTTCTGATTGATGCCATCGGTTCTTTAATTTCTAAGCTCTGATACCCTTGGATAAAACATATGGTGTACCATATGCAGAATGCTTTTATCATTTCTTTGGTTTTGGGGGGGCTGACGTGCATTCCCTCAACCTACATAAGCTGAGGTAGATTTGTTCTAGAAATACTCTTTATCCCTGTACTGATTAGCAGCCAAATCTCTTAAACGATTTTGAATAAATATCATACAAATTATTGAGCTGATCAGGGACAGTTTTTGTTGGAGTTTTAATTTTATTCATCTTTAATTTTCTTTCCAAGCATCTCTCCACGAAGGTTCTTTAAATTTATTAATTGCTCTTTTTTCCTTTTTCATGTTTGGTGCCATGCAAGTTCTCAATTGCATAACATGCTTGTTCCCCTTCCATATATGTTTGTTCTAAGGCTTCTTTATTATTCTAAATATATTGTTTTGCATTGATACTTTTTTAGGTTGCTAGAGTATTACGCCTGATAAACAGATTGATAGTGCAGCCTAATGCAACCCGTGCTCAAGTTTTTGCTCATTCTTTTATTTCTTGTGGGGGAATAGAAACACTTATAGTTCTATTGCAACGGGAAAGTAAAAGTGGAAATCATAATGTTGTGGACAACTATAGCTCGAATGATATCAGTTATGTTTCAATGGAAAACTTGGATTTGGAAACTACGACTAGCAAAGCTAGTGCAGATGTTGAGGAACCTGAATTTCTTGAGCAAATAAAAATGGTGTCTGGTGAATCAAACGCGCAGTCTCTGTCAACCATTAGCAGTAGCAGCATAGTTAATATCTTATTGGCAACAAATGGTGAAAGAAGACCATCTACTTCTGAGTCTCAATTCCTTAAAAGCATGGGTGGCATCAGGTTTTCAATGAATGAAGAAAGTTCTAGGAGTAATGCATTCAACATTGACAATGGTGATGGAGTTGTTGTAGCAATAATCAATCTTCTGGGTGCCTTGGCTTCTTCTGGTCATTTGAAATTTAATTCAAATATTTCATCATCAAGCCTGCCAAATAATCTTCAAAGCAAAGGATTGTTTGATGAAGGCAGTAGCATGTTTGATGATAAAGTTTCTTTGTTACTCTTTGCTTTAGAAAAAGCTTTAGAAGCAGCTCCTCAGAGGTTGATGACTACTAATATCCATATGGCTTTTCTGGCTGCATCGGTATGTGTTTAATGTTGGCATTTATTTTCTGCATTTGATGTTGTGTTGCTCGATATAAAAAAATCATTTAGGAATTTGCCATGATATCGATATAGGGTTTCTAAAAGGTATTTAGAAAGCGGATCATGCGGTGAGGCTGTTGTGGAATTGCAAGGGAACAAAAATCTGTGAGGATGGCGGTGTTTGGAAGGGGTACAAGGTGAAATCTGCCACTGGACAGCAGTTTGTTGTTGATTGGCGACGGGGCAGCAACATGGAAGCAGAAGGCAGTGGGTTTCTGCTGTTAATCAGTGGATAGACACGAGTTTAACGGCTTTCCTGGCTAAAAACAGGGGGTCGGACAGCGATAAAACATGATTTAGGCGGCAAGGAGGTTCTACCACTTGTTCCTAAACAAGAAATACATACACATCACTTTCAAATGAAAATGATACAAAACTTCGTTGCATCAATTTTTAGATAGAAAACTCTCAAATTCATAAATTCAGCCGAAACTGAAATCCAAACAGCCACCACAACATATAAAAGCCTCATAATAAAAAATACTTAAGTTAAAAGAAAGAAAATAGGAAAGCAATCAGGAAAACAAAGAAATAAAGAAAAAAGGGAAAAATAAGCAAAACTCACACTTTTCACCTACAGGTATAGCGGACTGATTTGCTATCTAGTGGTGCTGCGATTTTGTGATTTCCTAGTGCGCTAACCTATCGCTATCCGTCAGTCTACCCGACTAAGATAGGCTTCTTCTTCCCTGAAAGGGGAGATTCCATTGTCAGTAGGGCTGTTAATGAGCCGATTTGGAGCCGAGCTCAGAACGACTTGAAATCGGATCGAATGGATTGATGTTAGATCGAAATTGTCTAGTGGCTTATTTTGTTCGATTTCAAGCCATCTCAACTCGAAATTGAAATGAGCTAGCTCAAATTTGATTTATTTGGATTCATTCCAGCTTGCAATCAAAATTGAAACAAGATGGTTCAAATCTTTTTTAGCTCGAAATTATCTAATAGCTTGTTATATTCAATTTTATTTAGCAATATCTATAATTTTTATAAATAAAAAACTACTTTGAGCCGATCTATGTTTGGCTTGAAATCGGCTTGAAAAAAATTCGATCCAAAGTTTTGGCTTATAGTTTGACTCGTTTATTTTGATTCAATCTTAATTTGAGTTATTCAAATCAATTTTTGAATGATTATTGATCTTTGAGCAAAATTTGCAGCCCTAACTATCTAATGTTCTTTTCCACAAAACACCTATAATGATTATTGAAGTGGCAGTTCACCATTCTTGTTTGGCCATCTGTCCGTAGGTGCGGTACGGAATTGAATTGAAACTTAACAAGCTGATTATTCAATACAGGTTTTCAGAAACAATTCAAAACCTTTTCATCTCTAACATATTGGACTTCTCTCAGTAAGGGCAACTTAGCAGATTGACTGTATGTCTGAAAATATTGAAATTCTTTTATCCGGGTGACACCAAGACACAAGACATAATTTTATTAATGACCTAAACAAATGTTACATTGAAGAATCAAAGAAAGAAGGACAACACACTAAACAAAAATGTAAAACAAAAATCACAAATAAAGTCTTGACAAAAGAAGGCGCAACAAGCTTAACGAGGAGGGAGCTCGGGTGGTGCTGCAAGGTAGATAGGTCAACCCGAACCCTTCCCGAGAAATTAAACTGGTTAAGTTCTTTAATCCGAACTTGACTCAAAATTTATTCCGATCAACCCAAATTCTAATTTTTAAGTTGAGTTCGGGTGGAGTTGGTATGTTTGGTCAATTTTTGACTCCCCTAGTTCTTATATATACTTCAATGGTGCTAGCTATTGGGTGCCTCAGACTACATCACATGTTTTGCTGTGATACAACAGCCATTCAACGTACCAAAATCTAGCACAACTGACATAAGACATGTTAGGGTTTTGTGATTATAATGGAGATCTAATATGAAGTGCAAAAAATCATACAACATGCACACAATATTTGCGTAAAATATATTATCAATGTACATACAATTATTATTCATTTACTTTGATAGAGTTCGAAATCATGTTGAATTAATTTAGATGAAGAAGAATCAGCTGTCTTCTGTTAGAAATAACAACTGAAATTTTAGAATCAAGAAAGCTATGCAAAGTTTCTAAGATTTATTTTTTGGGGAGTATTAAATCATTTTTAAAGTTGAATAAATCCATCTGCTTTTTTAAATCATTAACAAAATATGAAAGAAGAAAGTAAATGGGAATTAATTCACTAGAAAGCAGCGCACTCAAGATTGAAAGATGTAACCTCTCTAAACTTGTTAAGTCTATCACATGATCAAGGATTTTAGACCCAAAAATAAAAAAAATGCCACAATTAATTATAAAATTTATCCAAGCACTAATTGTCATTCTTGTACATGTCTCAATCCTTTATTTATAATCATAAAATCCAATTGCAAAAATTTTCCTTAACCAATAGTTGATGGAATGGTCAAAATACACAATTAGGAAGAACCGACGAAAACAAAATGTAGAAGATTCAATTAAAGCTGTTGGATGAGGCATCAAATAAAAATTTAGAGGCTTGATTATTACCAAAATAGAAATCAGCAAGAGGACCAATCCCTAGAGGTAGGGTTGTTAATTTTGGTTAGCGGGTCGGGTTCGGGTCTGACTCGATACTATTCAACCCGAATAGGTTTGACCCAAACCCAACCTGAATATTATACAAGTAAAAAATTCTAACTTGAACCCAACCCACCTTTAACCCGCCAACCTCAGCTTGAACTGTATAACCCATTTAACATAAGACATAATCACCATTTGAGTTTAAATTGGATCAAATTTGGGCTAATTTTTGGTCAATTCCGGGTTGACGGTTCAATTTCAAGTCATTTTAGGGTTGGTGGATTATTTTTTGGTACCCGAAAAAACTAAATGGGTTAGGATCTTTAATCTGAACCCGACCAAAATTTTTTTTGGGTCAACTTGTACCCTGTTTTTTCGAGTCGGGTTCGGGTCGAGTTAGTTTGTTGGGTCAAATTTTGATACCCCTACATGGTGGCAGGATTTGAGAATTAACTCACATAAAGCTGTATGAAGGCTTGGTTAATAAAGTAGCTAAGATAAATTGTCATATGGTGCAATTGTTTAGTAGAAACCGCAAAAGGAGAAACCAATTACAAAACATAGACTTGAAGGAAGAATGCGCTCGAATATGGAAATATTGGAAGCATCTAAGTAGGAGAGGTCATTGGAGAAGTTGATGTACTACTCAAGGTTATGTTTCTCAATGCAACTAATATGAATTGTAGCATACTTTCATCTAAAGGGAAATAGGGAATTCATAGATTCACAAGTAACCACTTAATTCAACAACATTTTTGTAGTGGACACAAACGACACTAATGTTTTGGACCATTTGATAATGAAATGATCCAAAATTATGAAATATCAACAAGAAATTGGAAACAATTAAAATCAATGAGCAAGCTGTATTAATTTTTAATAATATGATTTTTTAACGTTTCAGTTTATGATCAAAATTAAGAGCACCAACTAAGTTAATTACAAATTTTAAAAAAATGATGAATGACATCACAAAAATAAGAAAAAAAATCTGGCCTCATGCTCATATAAAAATACATTTTATACCGCACATGAAGGAATTACAAATCTGGTTTTAGTTATTGGGGATGAAACTAGAAAGAGAAAATTTTTTTTCTTAAAGGTTGCAAATGTAAGACTTTGGATTTTGATTCACCTTGATTTCATGATAAGGCTTAAATTCTGTATACCTTTTGTTCGAATTAGTAGAACTCCTATAATTATCATGATAATAGCCAATTTTCTATGAATCTCTTTATGCACATCATAAATATATTTTTTGAATGATTGTGCTAATGCACTAGGCCTAGATTCTATAAGTGTGCCACAAGATTTACAAGCTTTTTAGATTAATTCTTTATAGTAATATTAATCGGAGTTGTACCAAGAGACCTATTGGTAGATGAACTGTGGAAACTCAACCGTAGGTGATATCAAATTGCACCCAAAATATATGGAATTTTAATTAGACAATGAAAGAGATCCCCCAAGCTTATAATAAAAACTTCAGTTTGACAATCAGTTTGTGGATGACCAATTGTTAGAATTTAAGCTGGATGAACAATATATAACTTCGTATTTTTTCATCTCAATCATAATTAACTATTTTAGCATAACCATATAATATAACCATTCCATTAAAATGCAATTTATCAATATGAGATGCATCTACAATTTAATGAGATGTTATGACATGCACTTATTTTAAAAAATGATATACCACTACAAAAATTAAATAATATTTCCTCAATGTTCATTGTAAATCTAATAATAATCTTTCCAGAGTTCACATGAAATTTGTAGAAATGCATATAAACTTGTAATACATATCCTACCCTTAGAAGGATGGCAAGTCCTATATAATTGAATAATGCATGCTTCATATCTTTTCCGACTTTGCCAAATACCTTTCCTCGATTATTTTTCTATTTTTAATTCCTCCAAAATATCTAGCAACACCTTTAACATGTAATTCCAAAATTTTTAAAAAAATCATCAATGATGAATCATAAGTTCAAAGATGTATGCATCTAAACAAATAACTATCATTAATATTGTAATCTTTGCTGAGTGAAGTTCGATCATTATTTATGCCTCGGTAAATTTTGAAATCATTAGAAGTGTATTTTTCCCTTTTGTATTGTTGAAATCACTTACATTAACTTGCATTATATGTAGAACCACAGCTCAAAAGTATCAGCAAGTTTGTTATTAGATCTATTGCATTTCTTAAGGATAAGAGAATATCTCATGAATGCTATCTTTTTCATGTGAAAAGATCCAAGTAGTTTACATCAGGAATACTGTCTTGTTCAAATTTTATAATCTTTTGATACTACAATTAAGTTCTTATTCTATTGCATTAATTTATTTAGTCCTCCTTATTCGTGAAATCTTTCAAGGTCATTTAGTCCTATATCTTTTTGTCAGGTTAATACTTCTTCTGGTGATGGACTCGACATATATGATTGTGGTCATCATCTCGAGCATGTTCAGCTTCTCGGTGTTTTACTCCGTGCTCTTCCATCTGCATCCAGAGCATTTCAAATTGAAACTATACAGGTATATCGAGGTGATCCTTACAACATCAACTATGGATTCTGCATGCTGACGGTTCGCCAAGAATTGGAATTTGTTAAGTAAAAAATTCGTGATTTGATAGTTGGAACTTGGTTTTGCCATCGTAGTATATTGTTGAGCTTTTAACTTCTCTTCCTCGTTAATATTTTTTATGGTTGCTATTTTCACCTACTTACACCTTTTACAGTTTACCTAGAAGCAGCTGAATTATTGTTTAATTTAGAATCCTGATATCACTACTACATGTATTTTTTTTATACTGATTGTGATCTTTAGTTGCTATTGATTTCTAGTTTTAAGTAGGAAAGGTAATGCGAAGAGAATTTGACTGTTTATGTCATACTTAGGTCCTTGTCATGGTTGCACTCATTTTTGCATTGTGTTTATGAGCACTCATTATAATATAGGATGTTGGTGAGTATTTTAATACTTTTTAGAGGATGGGTGGTATTTTATGATGTTTTACCATATTTTGGGTGATTGTGGTCAGCTATGGGATTATGGAGGGGACATGGTCCAGAGCTTCTTGTTGTAATGTATGAATGAAGTTTATATTATCAAAATAGGAACTGACGGTTGGATAAAAGAAAACTATCTAATAGATTTATTTCTCAAATAAAATGATCCAAAACATAAAATAGACATTCTATTTCATATAACTTTAATTTATAATAATTTATTTTTACTTAAACATTTACAATTGACAAAACATAAAAACTAAAGTATAATACACATCAATCTGAGCTCCTCGACGTCTATAAAGGCACACCAAAACTGATTTGCATGAATGTCGAGATGATCTAACGGTCCATATCATAGACAATTAGTTACAAGTCATGATGTATCCGACTTACTGATGACCACCAACCGACTGATGGCCAGACGACTGATGGGCTGGCGACTGATTAAAGGGTTGCCTATCGAATGAAGGCCACTCCGACGACCAAAGGGCCACCCAAGCCGACAATAACAAACCTTCATGCCAATGACTGAACAAAGGTCTAGTACCCCCAACAATCTCACAAGTATTAGCGTGATACTCTCTTAACAACTCTCCCAAAGATCTAATGAGCGGCTTCCTATAGTGAAGACTGATTGGTGTCCACACAAAAAAATTGGCCGACTTCCCAGTGCGAAGGCCGACCAATGTCCATATAAAAAGGTTTCATAGGCAGTTAAAAATACGAAAATACACGATAAAAGATAATAATTTTCTGTATGTCCTTATTAAAGCAAGAACAAACATGTAATTTTAGACCGTCCCTCTATTTTCTCTAAATAGGGGGATCATAACATGTATTAAGGCTTTTTGCTTTTCTAGGCTTTGGTTTCTTTAGGCTCTTCTCTTTAGACCTACTATGTAGGGAGAACTCTCCCATTTTCTTTTGTAACCCCAAGCTACAAAATATAAAATGGGTGATGAAGCCCATGAATACCTCAGTTCACCCCTACGATGTAAGTCTTTGTGTACTCTTTCATTCTTTCTCCCTCTCTGCCTCTCTCTCTCTCTCTCCCTCACGGTTTCTACCGCTCCGATCCTTGGGCATGCCTCATAGGATAAATCTGGATTTGACATCCTAAAATGTGCGGTGAGCTTGGAAATGCTACCAACAAGAAGAGAAATGATACCAACGAGGAGGAATACATCGCAGAGACACTCCTAATAGAGAACACACAAAAGAGTTAATGTAGCAACAGATTTGGAGCCGAAAACTCCGTTTCTGTCATCTTCCTTGAGGCTCTGGCTAGGAGGCGAGTACCATAAAATGGATGGACGGCTCCCAATGATCGAAATAAGTCGATTGACCATATCTACACAACGCTCGTTAAATTCTAGGCGGCTGACACCTATAGCTCAGCAAATGAAGGGATTATCACCTCAAAACTTATTTGATACCAGAGTTAAATCTAAACCACAATATAAATAGAAATATTATTGCTGAAATTCAATAGGGTTACAACGATTTTTGTTCCAAACATGAAATAAATGACAACAAACATAAAAAGACACCCTAAGACGATGACGAGGGTGGTGACTGGTGGATGACAACAGGCAGGAGTCGGAGTTGAGGTGGTTGTGAGAGCAAGGGAGGGTTAGAAGGGAGTTCTGACAGCATTTGAAAATAGGTGCAAGGAATTGAGGGGGCTGGCTGCTTTGGTTGGAGGAGTTAATGCCAATTCTGGGAGGGTTGGAGGCACTTGGGTGGGAGTTGTTGGCAATTACGGAGGTAAAGAGCAAGTTAGGGAGGAGGCTGAGCTTGTTAGTGACACAACAAACCAAGGGGAGATGAGGAAGCCACAATAATCTCACGGAAGTGGGGGAAACAATAGCGAGTTGTTACTGGAAGTAGGAAGATTGAGGTCGAACAACAACCGGGAGGAAGGTTGTAGAGTGCAGGTGAAGTAGCAATGGAAGATTACAGGAAACAGTCCAGTTGGGCTGTCTAGCGGTTGCAACAAAGAGGAAGGATGGTGACAACGGAGGAAGGGGAAGTCGAGGATAGTTACATCTTTGGAGCAAGATACAACGGGAGCAACACTCGTCATCGAATACAACCCTATAAGGGAAGAGGGGATGACGACAACTGTCCCAGGCAGAATTCTGAAATCAACTCACAGAAACAAACTCTAATTCAACAAACACACATATAAATAGAGATGGAAAAGGGGGAAACGAAAATAGGAAGGGGGAATAATATCTGCCTAATGAAAAGAGGGAAAGGGGGTTGGTCCAACAAGACCGAGTTTTCTTGCTGAACCAGTTGGGGCGGCTCAGTGCCAATGCCTCTGCGTCAGTCTTCTGGGGTTGGAGGAGCTTTGACCTCATTTGTTGAAGCTTTTTGTCTTCTTTTAGTAGTCAGGTTGATCATGTTGTAAGCTCCTGGTAAGCCAATTTTGTCGGTGGCATCGTTCCGAAGAACATCTTGATAGAATAGGTGTGCTTTCTCTTAGAACAATCTGAGACAAAGGTGCACAACGACATAGGTTCTTCCAAGCCAAATTCCAAACAAGTACATATATAATATGTTTCTCCCACTTCTCATACTCGGCTAGATGTATCTAATAAACAAAGTTGTCAGGGGTGGTCAACTTTGGAATGACATCTCTAATAGGTGGGGCCACCATGATGTGTAACCACTTTTGAGAGGCATTTTCTTCTTCTTGGAAAGGACCTGAGTCCCAAAATAGATTATTCTTTCTTTCAAAGATTTCGAGGTGATTCCCACCACTGCGGTTCATCCGCCCTGTTTGATCCTCTATCGGGAGGTACACCGTTGAACCGATTTTAATCTTCGAATGACTCACAATTGTCTTCCAAAAGTAACTAAAAATCTTTCCATCTCTGACAAGTTAGACCTTTCGTAGGGGCAACTTAGGAGACAGGCTTTATATCTGAAATTGACCTGTGTCTAATATCGACTCCTCATGCTCATGACACATTTGGACATCCAGAGTCCGTTTTGCTATTGTTCCTTTCAATGCCCGCCAAATGGTAGCTCAAGGCATCACAATCTCATACTTTGCATGAATGTCCATTACATCAAAGTCACTTCCTTCTAGAACAACTATTGTTATCTCAGCTGGAATTTTTCTCCTAGGATCAATTGGAATCGATAATGCATATTCCTAGGAGGCTGCAAGTTGAGAATCCTCTCTGATCTCTTTATCTTCTCTTGAATCAACCGTCTCATTGCCCAATTTTTCAATAACACCCTACTCAGTTAAACAAATCATCCTCATGGTTGTGCACTCTGATTCAACATGTCTAAATTCATGGCACTTGCAACGCTTCGTGGTTGGGAAAAATGTAGGGATGTGAATTGGTTTTACCTATTCTCCACTCTAGATCAGCTTTTCCTCTGAGAGTGACAGAGTCATCTTTGGTGTGCTCCTGGGTGTATTCAGACTGTAAGATCCTGAGGTTGAAATCTGTTTGTAAGATATGGTGCTCGCTCGACACTGTGATATTTCCACTTCTGAAGCTAGACTCTGCATCCTAGTAAGCTGGTAGGAAGTGGTGCTGTGTCTCCCACTTCATGTTCAGATTCTCTTGTTCTCCCTTCAACTCTCCCAATCACGATCGAGGGTAACCTTCCATTAGATTTTATCCTCAATGTCTGTAAGCCACCACTGATGTTGGCATATCTCTCGCTAATCTCTTTCTTGGTAGGCTCGCGTATGTATTTTCTTAGTGGCATGACTAGGGTTTAAGGTTGGGCCGTGGGATGTGTTTAGGTTTGGGAGGTGAGAGGGTGTATGGGGTTGATTTATGGTGTAGAAAATTTATTTTGAGGTTGTTGATTTTAAAAATCTACATGGAGGAATTAAGCTTAGGTCGAAATTTTGGCTATGGTTTGGGAATAAGAAGGAAAATTTTTGGTGGAGATGGATTGGGTAGGGCGGATGCCTGGAAACCCTGGGATTGGACTAGAGTTTGGCTAGCTGTGATGCCAAATAATATCAATGTTAACCCAAACCACAATAGAAATATAAATATTATTTCTGAAATTCAAAAGGGTAGGCTCAAGCATATATTTTTGTAGTGTCATGGCTAGGGTTTATGGCTGGCTTGTGAGATGTGTTTAGGTTTGGGAGGCGAGAGGGCGTATGTGGTTGATTTTTAGTGTAGAAAATTTATTTTGAGGTTGCTGATTTTAAAAATCTACAAGTAGGAATTAAGGTTAGGTAAAACTTTTGGCTATGGTTTGGGGATAAGATAAAATTTTTTTGGTGGAGGTGGATTGGGTAGGGCGTATGTTGGGAAACCCTGGGATAGGACTAGGGTTAAGCTAGCTCTGATGCCAAATGATATTGATGTTAACCGAAACCGCAATAGAAATAGAAATATTATTTATGAAATTCAAAAGGTTTATGATGATGTTTCTTCCAAATATGAAATAAACGACAACAAATATAAGACACCCTTGATTGATGGCTGGCAGTGGGTAGGAGTCAGAGTGGTGTTGGTTGTAAGGGAGGGT